TATCCTAAAAGCCCCATCCATTCTCCCACATATATTTATATTATTATTTCTCTCTTGGTAAACTTCACAAACAAAAAAAGAAAAAAAGGACAAATACAAAGTCTTTATTTTGTTGGTGTGTTTAAGATTTCGTCCTTCTGGTGAAACAATTTTGAATTTCATTTTCAATTTTATCAACATTTAAACAGTCTCGTACAATGGCTATGAATAAAATTTTAAAGTAGATAGAAATTTCAATATTACTTTAAGAAATATCTAAAATATATTAAGTGTGGTTGAATAAATATTGTAGGGTAATACTACAAGAATTTCTTATATTAATAATGCATGTACTTGTATTGTTCACCTTATATATAATAAATTGGGATTTTTGTTAATTTATCATAGATATTTTCTGATTTTTCTATTATTTTCAAAGCAACTCATATGTGAAATTGTAAAGCATTTAATATCAAATTTATATGCCAATTTCAGTTATTAACTAATTAATTTATACAGAAAATTTAATAATTTATTCATCTATATGAGTAAAAGATTAACTGTATTTTGCATACAAATTATTATATTTTTTTAAATATTATATTTTTTTAAATTGTACATAATGTAGGATAATGGAAACTTTATGTTTAACATACTACCATAAATTATGCTAAAGTGTTAATTTTCAAGATAAAATAAGAAGTTATAGTGTGCTCTAATAATTTAAAAATAATTCATACCCATAAAAATATTTATGTTTAGGATACTGGATAAAAGTTCATAAAAAATAGAATAATCAAGAAAAATCTTCTTAACAATTATGTATTTAGTCACGCAATTAATGAATATTAATTATACTAATTTATTAGATATTAATATGTCGAGTCTCCAATTGAGACTTATTAATTATTCAAACAATTATAAGTCTCAATTATAGATTCCAAGTTATGAGCCAAGAATTATAGATATTTTCTAAGTTTAATTTCGGAATGTTGAAATATTCAAACACAAGAAGGGTAACGGATAAGATAATCGCCATTTTGTGTAAGTACTCAAATGTAGCCAACAACTTTTCATATAAAAAAACTTTAAAAATTTTAATAAAGGACGACTGTTAAAAAAATCTTAAAGTATCGTATTCAAATTTTACGCATTTCAGTTTTTAGTTTAAAAATATGCTATATAAAGTGATACAGGAGAAATATGAGAAAAATATTTTTAAAACTTTTCAGAATGGTGTTCAATATAAAAACACAATAAGTATATGCAAAAAGATTTCAATTTAATCGTGCAAGCTTAAAATTAAATCGAAAAAATAAATTAAAACTAAATGAATTTTTCCTGCGCCATTTTATTGTTTTTTCAATAGTCTTTAATAAAATTTTGTTTTCCTTAAGTTTTTTTTTTACTATAATATTAAATATGTGAGTGTTTATGTTCATGAATATTTGTTATGTTCAATGATCAGAGAATACTTTTCTAATTCTCTGCCTTATTTAATCAATTTTCTCTTTATTTGCTTGAAATACATCCTCTTATAATATTGCAAGATAGATTCTTTTCTTTTATCTTTTTATTTTTCTTTAAGATAGTCTTTTTAAATCCTTTTACCTACATTTTTTTTTATCAATGCACTTGATTCAATTTACCTTTTGTAATAACTTGTTATACTTTTAAGTTTTTCTTTATGAGTATAGTATGTATACATAGAAAACAGAATAAAGTTTAGAAAATATATGAGAAAGTAGGCAAAATGTACATATGTTCCGTTATCAATGTTGGTATGTTTACATATTGCACTTAAAACCATATTGTTTATTATCCTTGTAACTTAACACATATGCAAATGTAATAAAGAGAGAAAAAAAAGAAGGTTAAAAATGTAAACGTATATAGAAATAAAGTTGGGTCAAACCAATAGTTTGCAAGAAAGCATTTTTCCCTTCAAAATGTTAAAATATTGCTTGTAAGCCAAATTGCAGTTTTATATGAAACTCTTGCATACATTTAGGATGATCACAATAAAAAATTTGAGAGAGGCATTAACATTTTGGTTGTATTCAACGGTTAAGCAAGTTAGTTAAGAAAAATAATTATTTTTTTTGATAGCGCGGTGAATCTGTTAGCGTTCTGCATTTATAGAAATTTGGAAAAGTTTTCAGTTTCAGAAATATAATGTGCCAAAAAATTCAAATTTCTACTTTTCTGCTATACAGAATTTAAAAAATATTGCAATAAATAGTAATGAAATTAGAATTTTCAAATTTTTGGAGGCTACTTTTAGAGGGAGGGGGGAGGTATAAATAAAAATTTTCTTCTAAGTAAGTTTTTAGAAAAGACCAGTTTATGTACAAAATTTCGGCTTTCCATTTTCAAGGGTATAGAAGTTTTGCAAACAGACACGCTGACAGAAGGACAGGCAGCCGGAAGGATGGAGTCAGTGCAACTAATAAGTAATTTTTTTTATAGTTTTTTTTGGAAAAGTGCTAAAAATAAAACGTCAACAAAAAAAATGCTTTCCACTATCATAAATGATACTTATTTTTAGTTTAATGTAGGTACATAAAATATGTCAACGTGTTACGTGCATCTGAGTTGACGAAGACACTATAAATCATTAAATAAAAAAAATTAGTACATAAAAGCTCTCATAATCCTTTATGAATATTTAAGTAACTGTAAAAGTAAGTACTTAAGTTAATTTTTACAAAAGATTTTTTTCTAGTCAACTCATATTTTCTAATTTCTCCATAGGAAAGATAAAAAACAATGTGCAAAGAGAAGATATAGAAATGCTAATTCGCTTCTATTGGAAAAAAAATGTAATTTATGCTCTCATTCAAACAGAACTCGCACTTTGTGCATATAAAAATTTTCCGCGAACCAATAAAATTACGAAAAATCTTGTAGAAAAAGGAAATTAATATTCTTAATTAAGTGCCACATTTTGATAAAATTAATACTTGGTATTTTTGACTAATTAAGTTCTTATTACTTAATTAGCAATAATTAAGTCATAAGACTAATTTTATTTTCCATTTTTAAATAAATCTTGTCTAATTGCTATCTAACGATATATTGTCTACATGTATAATTTCTGGGTGGCTTCGTCTTGGTAGCGGAGTATTTTCGGGAATTTCCCCTTACAATGTGCTCGAGTTATTTGATGATAAATGTATCAAGGGAGTACTGTTGTCGTCATGTTGAATATTTAGTTGGCTGTGCACAATAGATCCTAATACAATGGGTCGAGATACACTGTCACCGGAATATTGTAAATCTATAATTTACAAATTTTTACACTATCTGGCAATTCGAGAGAGAAACATCTAATTTGGGATCAAACTTTTATCTCAACTTTTCAGTTAAATAATCGTTCGATTAAATAATCGTTACTTTTAAACATTCTTAAAAGTGTTCAAAAGGTAAATATTTGAAACTCAGAGAACAGTTGCAGAGAAATTTTTAAATAATGAAGAGCAATTACATGAATTATTTCAAATAGATTAAGCATTTTTTAAGCGCACGTTTCAGGGGCCGTGCAACCATGCAAGTATGTCCGTAAACAGAACTTAAATTTTTTAAAGTATTTGCAAAATATTGAAATAATCTTGTATTTTCCTTGAGAATTTAACAAGACTGAACATTCATCAGGATCAGGATGAGAAAAATAATTGTCTTCTACAGATTTTCTAGTATCAAAGCCATTATATAAGAAGCCAATGTATTGAAAGTACTTCTGAAAAATATCTGACATTGCAAAACAAAAATTAAATGTTTTTGTTCGATGAGTTCATACCTAAACTTCTCGAGCTTGATAAATTTATATTACTATCAACTATCTACACAGAATTTAATTTAGTTTGAAGCTCCAATCTTGTAATATTTCGTTATAAGACAAAAACCAATTCTATTTTTGATTTGGCTTCCGGTTTTTTTTATAACGAAAAAAAAATCAAACATATAAACACAAAAATTGAAAAACTAACGATGACTGGTCAATATTGGCTGGCATACTAAAATGAATGATGAAGCAAAATAGTTTAGAGAGTAATTAAGGTTAGCAGAAAATGATGACATGGTGACTTGTATTTATTATAATAGTTGTACTATTATACGGGTGAAAGCAGAAAATTAATTTAAAGCAGAGAAAAAAAAAAAACAAATATTGAGTTGGTTGAGTGGCATTTTTGTATTAAGCAGAAGATTAAGGGATATTTTTCTCAGAAAATCATAATAAAATGTTGTTCTTTTTTCTTTGTATAGTTTTGTACTGCAGTGAAATTGCTTTCGTAAATTAATTTTTTCATTTATTTTTCCAATTAAAAGGTGAGTTGCTTCATATTTTTTTAATCTCACAATTTCTGAATGTAAGAGTATGTGCATAGCTATCTGTTGCATTGGAATGTTATACGCTGTGTATTAAAATCTGTAGGTCAAGAAAATTATTTGTACTACGCTTTTTTTTATTCGTCGGTAGAATGAGTTTTATTCCTGACAATTTTCGTTTTGTCTTTGCTTAAATTCTTGCCATTTACAATAATTTTTGAAATTTTGTTAAATTCAAAAATGTATAAATATTGTGAGTAAAGTTGAGCTTGTAATGAAGTAAATTTAAAAGGTTGTGGTTTTGGTTAAAAAATATAACAGTTTAACTTATTGTAAAAAATTTTATTTTTTGGGCCCTTCTTTGAAATAAAAATTGATCAAGAATAAAGAAATTACAAAAAAATGCCACTTCTTGTTGCTGAGATCACATCGACGCCGTACTGTTTACCTAGTTTGTTGAAAATTACAAATCATATTTTTATTCGGAAAATTCAGTTCGTCTACTGTATTCGCAATATTAACAGGGTAAAGAGAAGTCAAATTTGTAATTCAATAGCAGCACACAAATTTGGTTTAGCTACTTTTTGAATCTAAACAGAACTATTGTTATATTTTACCAAAAATTTATACCTCAAAATTCTCAGAATTTTTGAAATATTTATTTAATTAAAAAAAAATTAATTTTGACTTACCTTAAGTGTTACAGTTCCCAAATCATATTCCCGATTGTATAAATCTTCTACAGTTGCTCGATATTTATCCGTATAGGTTTTTGTTAGAAAACGTTTAACTATACAACTTTTACCAACACCTGCCCCACCTAATATTACTAACCGGATACGCTCATCGGCCATATTATTTTCTTATAATATTTATATATATATATATAGATTTTGATATAAACTGTTATATCTATATATATCTATATCTATTTTATATATTTTGAAATTATCTTTCAGTTTTACGTGTCTGTATGAGTGCAATAAAAAAATTATTTATATAATTTTAAAGGATAATCCACCAGAAACCAGACAGCGAAAACATCAAGACTATTATAAAAAGAAAAACGTATAAAACAGAAAAAAAATTATTAATACTCGACACTAACAAATCTAACGTTTTTCTTTTCTTGTTGTTTGTTTGTGTGTAAATTTAGAAAAAAACAAGCGATTCTGTGCCGGATTATATTGTTATTTCTTTCTTATTTTCTTATGAATTTGATAATAAATACTTCTTTTTCTATCTTCTTATAATTTTGTTTTATTTGCTTTTAGTTGTTTCTTAAATAAAATTTTTAATACCAATTTATATGCATTTGTATAATAGTGAAAAGTTGGCTCTACAATTAGAAATATCAACAGGATAGCAGCAGGTGTTTAAACTTTTAAAATTTATTATAATTTTTCTGCGTTTTTTATTATAATTATAGTTTTTCTGATGTTGTTGCCTTTCCGTTGATTTTGCTCCTCTTTTAAGTGTCGTACTTAAGTAAATTTAATTTCTTCCGATTGATGCTTTTTTCATATTTACACATTTCTTGTATAATTGAATTACTCCACCTCACAATGATTATATTATATTATACCGCATGAAAGTTTAAAAATTATTCCATTAGTGGTTTTGTGCTATAGTTGATTTATAATATTTTCAAAGCCGTTGCATTAATAGAATTCGATTTTGGAGTATATAAAGTGTTGCGTTCTTATAGAAATTAAAAATCCAATTTAAAATTTTTATTTGAAGATTTTTATTGTTTTAATATTATAGATAAATGCTAAAAACACTTAAATGTTACTCAATAGTGTTGTTAAAATTCTGAATCAGAAAAAACTATGATTGTATTTTGTATAGTAAATGTTTAGAAAGCAAGTAGTATAGTTTTTCATTTAATTTCATTGAAAGCATATTGCAATTAGTTGAATATTTATAGGTTTTTGTTTTACTAATAACGTTGAACATGAAATAGATTTCAATATTATTTATATTTGTATCAATGTATATAGCCAGTGTTGAGTTGAATTCAAAATATATGTATATATATAAATATATCCTGTTTTTTTGTTTTTCATTCACTTTAAATCGTTAAGCATTTTTTATCCACTGTATAATACTGTAACTTTTTAATCGCAGTTTCGTGCCATATCCTCTTTTATAATTAAGAGTAAAAACAATCTGGAAAGAGAAAGAAATTTCAAAAATAGGTTAATGTATTATCCAATGATACAGAAAGGGAAATATGCATATATGTATGGATGTATGTATTGTATATGTACATGTTTGTACCTATACAAACTATTCCTTTATATACATATATAAATGTAGACAAAGTGTCTAATTTAAAGAGATTTAAAATATTATAAAAGAAGTTTTTATAGTGTGAGGGTATATTTGATTTGACTCAATAGTGAAGCGTCCTAAAGCTGGTTATATGCAAAATATATAAAAATTACGTATTTAAATCTAATTTGTAATAGGATACTAAAATTCTATAAAGCCCTTTATTATTTTATAGGGATAGTAATATTGATATAGATAGAAGAATTGCCACATTATAAAGTGTTGATTTCAAACAAATCTACTAATGCGGTATAGTGAAAGTAAATTATGTTTTTTAAATTATTTTATTTTGGTTTATAAGAGGACGTACAAACTAATTTTTTCAAATTTTAATACAAATTTCCTCAGCACTTAATTAACATAAATTTATTACTCGAACATTCATTTCTTTAGCAAATTTTCATCCAAAAAATTTGTCAAATTAAAACTGAACACCTAATACAATATTTGCTAAGCATCGAATTACAAATTTTTATTTACACTTATAATCTCACATACATATAATAAGAGTAATACGTGTTAAGAATTTAATATGTGTTCAAAGATAATTCGATTGCAAATATGTACACATATACATAAAAAGTTTTTCATTTTGAAATTACTGCAAAATGTTTGTTAGCCCCAAGTGGATTAAATTCATAATTATAATTGCAAGTTTGTTCAATATTTTCAATATATTGTTTTATAAAAATTACTTTTATTTACAATATAGAAAATATTTTTGTTCTTGATGCAGCAGATCAAAATAAAATTATATTTCTCGAGACTCTTACTTAACAAAACCATTGTAGAAATCAATTAAATTTATTTTTTTTAAAGGTAGCAGAATGATATTTTTTTAGTAAAAAAACGATTTCAATAATTAAAAATTTAAAATATGATCTATAAAATTAAAATGAGAGAAATATGTAGTTCCATTTCAATAAGTTTTCTTAATACACCACCTCTTACAATCGTAAGTCGAAAATAAAGATAATGCGTACGTGATTAATGTTATTTAACGGTGTAATAGGTGCCACATTCGAATAGCATAAAAATTGGTTTCGACAGCATTGCGGAACTAAAAATCCAGACTTACTTTATTTAAGGAAAAAGAATGGATCGACTCGTATGAAAAGTTATACAAAAATTAGTATACCAAGTTTCCCGAGCAAAAATAATTGTAAACTTAATTAATACTAAGTTTTTTTTAAACCATTTAAAGTGTTTTTTAAAGACTTATAACTAGTATCATAAATTTATAAAAATTGCATATATCGAGGCGAAAATTTTTATGTGCATACTACAAACTTAACTATAACACTAAAAATTGAAAATATAACTTACATATCCCGTAAGTATACTTTGATCTACATCAGTTTTAATCCACTTATTTCGCACCAGATGAATAATTTTTTTTAAATATAGTTAAGTTAAAAAATTTACAAGGATAAGGCGAACAAGTAAATTTAAAACTAAAAAACAAATATGGTGTTAAGTTTTATAGAGGAAAGAAAAAAAAATATTAGAATTATTATAAATTAAAATCATGAAGCAACAGACATAAATACTGTAAACCACTATTAGTCATTATATAAAATATTTTTAAGAATTTCCTTGAAATTTTAAATGAAATTAAAGAAATTTCCGTACTAACACTACAGAATGAATGAAAATTTTAACATAAATTTATTTTTGCAATACAAAAAAAAAATTACGAATGTAATTAATTAACATTTACTGCATTTAAAAAGAGTATTGCACAAAGAGATCCCCTACAGCTCAAAATTTATATTTCAGTTGCAGAACATTTTAAGTATCTTGTATTAGAAAATTTAAGAAAACTGAATACGTATTAGAATACTTTTAAAAGTGCGTTTTATGTTTTTGCAGCTTATTAAAATTCTTAAAATTCAGATTTAGTATAAGGCACGCATATTTGTAAAAACTGTATGAATTCGAGAAATGAGTTTTACGCTTCATTTATAAATTCAAAAATCTCACTGTACTATATCTCAACTTCCAATTTTAAATGAAATTGTTTTAACATTTTTACAATTTGCGTTTGCAGTTTTATAAATTCTTATTAGGCTAAACATACATTTGTAACCGGTCTCTGTCAAAATTTGATTAATATATGAACAAATTTTTGCAAATTTTTTTTTACCTCAACACGTAATATTGTCATTTTGTCTACCTTGAATATTTTAATGAAAATCTAACTTGAAAAATTGACAATTAATTATTAACAAAAATACTGTGATCATAATAAACTAAAACATTTTCATTTAATTCATTCTCCAAAAATTTGATGTCCTTGATATAATAATTTAGTAGAATTTAAATTTTAAAAATATGTCAATTACACTCATCAATTCTAATCAACTATTTAGTCATTTACATATTTCACTATTTTATGAAATTAATATATGTATGTATGTTTGTCTATATGTAGATTATGGTCGTATCACTGCCAAAATTAAATGAATAAATTTAAACGTAAACTTTCGTTAATAATATTGTAAAAAAAAGAGAAAAAAGTCAATTGCATAATATTTGTGCTGTATAAAATGTTATTGTAAAAAATACTGCACATTATATACGATTTTATAATTTTTCTAAAAGGCACAAAATCTTGATATAAATATGGTTTCCCACTTCAAAGACCCATTTTAGTATAAAGGATAAATGGATTGATTTAATTGGCAATAATAATTTAATAGCAATGAACAATTAAAGATTGGATACATTTGATTATGCTAATGAAAATATTATTACTCGTATATGATTACCATTTTTAAACCCTTTTGAATTTTATTAAACTTGCATTTTTTTGATAAAATGCATTCATACATACCAATATGTTTTGGATACAACACAAATTAAATCTCATTTAACCAGCAAAATTCATTTAAACCGAAAAATGAACAAGTAATAAATTTTATAAATGAATTTTATAAATGAATATATTTCAGATTAAGGAAGGCACGTGTAGTAAATGTTGCAATGCAGAATTCATCCAAAATTCAAAAAAGAAAACAGAATTGAATATTATGAATTACCTACTGAGACAGAGGGGAGGAAGTGTAGGGGTTCCATTTTGTTTAAATGGGGAGACTAATGTTTTACAAATGAAAACAACAAAAATTTTCGAAATTTATCGAAACAGAAATTTAGAGTATCACTATAGAAAAACACAAATATCATGACCGCGATTTGATCAAATTTCATTTAATCAAATTTCAAAATACAAAAAAAGATTATAATCACGATTCAGTTATTAAAGAACTTTTCGGACAATAATTTTAATAAAAAAATAAGTGTTCTATTATGAATTTTACTAATACAATATCATAGTTGAGAAATTAATAAGAATGTGCTTATTACACTACTAATTTATCTTAATGGAAATTTCTTCATGCAACTGCAGAACAGATGGATGACGTAATCAAAGGAACGAGTTAAAGGCAGAAAAATTATTCATTAAAAAAATTTTTCTCCTCGAACTGGACTCGAACCAGTGACCTACCGCTTTCTAGGCGGACGCTCTACCAACTGAGCTACAGAGGCATGAAGAAATTGCCGACGAAATGTTCTCTACATTGCTTATACTGCAATTCACATGATTACTAAGTATTTGTTTTGTTTACATTGATTGCTACATAAAATCTACTATTGAAACACACAATAACAAGAACATATATATTTATAGGATTGTGCCTATTGCACTAATTAAATTATGAATTTTACTAATACAACATCATAGTTGAGAAATTAATAAGAATGTGCTTATTACACTACTAATTTATCTTAATGGAAATTTCTTCATGCAACTGCAGAACAGATGGATGACGTAATCAAAGGAACGAGTTAAAGGCAGAAAAATTATTCATTAAAAAAATTTTTCTCCTCGAACTGGACTCGAACCAGTGACCTACCGCTTTCTAGGCGGACGCTCTACCAACTGAGCTACAGAGGCATGAAGAAATTGCCGACGAAATGTTCTCTACATTGCTTATACTGCAATTCACATGATTACTAAGTATTTGTTTTGTTTACATTGATTGCTACATACAATCTACTATTGAACGTCCGCCTGGAAAGCGGTAGGTCACTGGTTCGAGTCCAGTTCGAGGAGAAAAATTTTTTTAATGAATTTTTCTGCCTTTAACTCGTTCCTTTGATTACGTCATCCATCTGTTCTGCAGTTGCATGAAGAAATTTCCATTAAGATAAGTGTTCTATTTTGGGTAAAAGCTTGCTAACGATTTGGTAACGCGAGCAATGAAGTTTCGCATTGACTGCTTTGCAGTTCTCGCTTCCTCTCAAAATGATCTGGAATTCCTTATAAATGAAAACATGAACTCAAAAACATGACTAACTTCGTGTAAAGCTCAATATTTAAAGTTACCTTCGTACATAGTTAATATTTAAATATTAACTATGCACGGATTTGTTTAATTTATTTTATTCTGCTATTCAGTGCCATTAGCACAGACCCCATTCTAATAAGTACAGAAATGGTAGTTACTTGTTTTCGTTTGTCAATTTGTAATCTACACTTGTATATGGATTTGTATATGGATACTATAGCATATATTTGATTTTACACTTTAATTGAATTTAACTTTAAAATCTGTATCATTCAATCTTAATTGAATGTCAAAAGTATCATCAACATTTTAATATATCAAAATAGATTTTAATAGTAATGAATTGTGAGGTAAATTTGATTTGACAAAAAAAAATGTTTTACCACATTTTAAAGCATAGATAATTACCTAACTTGATCTAATTTTTGTATAATGAAAGGATCTAGCTATATATAATAATTTATTCAACCGAAATAATTAAAA